GGGAGTTGCAGTTCAAAAACACCTGAGTAACAAAGGTTAAGAACCACTGTCCTAAACCATTGATTCTCAACCTTTGGCCATCCGTATGTTTCAACCTTTAGTATCCAGAATCCCTGAGTACTAAACCTGCTGGTGGGACTTCTAGAAGATATTATTTTAATACTTCAAATTAAAGTCCAAAACATCTCAAGAACAAAAGATTGAGAACTGCTGCTCTATAAGACACTAATTCCCTTTCAACTCTATGTTGTAGGGGAATATCAGTAAAGATGAGAGGGATCTTTTTCAAGTTATTCTCTGGCATTTTCATACTGAGAAACTCCAGGATTCCCTGGATCACGGGTTAAAGTCACTGTTGTCATTGCAGGGTGTGAAATATTATTACAGCCCAAGCCACCCGAGGACTGATTTTGAATTTCTTAGTTTTGAAAGTTATAATTAGAAGTCCCTGATGGAATCTAACTGTGCTAACACTTTGTTTATAATTCGTCCTTGAGCAGTGCAGGGAACATGTCCAGCATGCTGGACCTGCTATTTCTCCAGTGTTCAAGAAAGTTGTTTTTGCCTGACATATTTTTGCATCCTGCCTTCTTTCTTTCTGCAGAAGCTGAATTTCTGATTGGTTTCTTAAAAACTCTGTCTTGTTCCTTAGGCAGATCAATGCCGCAAACTGTCATCAACTTTACAGGCACAGGACCCTGAACACCTCCTGCCTGTGTTAATTCAGGCAGCTCAGCTGTGTCGAGAGAAACAACATACCAAAGCAATAGAGCTTCTGCAGGTAGGCTATCGTCGACTGCTGAAGGAGATGCACAGCAGATTTCTCCGAAGGACACAGCTCTGTACTCAGCCATTCTTATGAAATGTCATATCTGTTCATTGCATGGTTTCTGTTTTACAAATTATGAAGATCTGTCTGAAAGCCTCCTATTGTTCTTGTTTCGGATGTGCAGGAGTTTGCTGATCAACATCCTGAGAAAGCAGCAGAAATAAAGCTGACCATGGCACAGCTGAAAATTGCTCAAGGTACAGTAATGTAGTGCTGTTGCCTTTGAAAAGAATTTCATGGGTGTTTGATCGTATTGATATGGTGAATCCACATAATTCTTGCTTCTACCATGAACTTAGCCCATTTTTTTTGAGGGAGAGAGAGACAGAATATAGGAGGGAAATACTTTTTTTATTCACTTGCTTGTATAATTTCTTGATACTTATCATTCTGCAATTCTTTACATATTGCCTAATTCTGGTTTTGCTTCTCACGTGAAAGGCTAGCAGCTGGTATGGAACATTTCTTGTTTAGTTATCAGAGATTTCAGTGGTCCTTGACCAGATGCGTCCAAGCATATTTTTGTAATCATTGGCTTCTGCAAGGAATTGACTTCTATGAAATCATGGCATAAATTGAGTCCTCACTGAAACTGTCTGGGATTTCTGCTCATTCCTCCCTGTCTAAAAGAAAAGAAGGATTCCTGAATGAGAGAAATAATGCCCAGTAAAAGGCTGGAGGCAAAAATGAATAATTTCACTTTTTATTCTCTTTCAAAGGTAGTGTCACCAAAGCATGCATCATCCTGAGGTCTATAGAAGAGTTAAGGCACAAACCAGGCATGGTGAGTTGTAGCTAAATCTAGACAAATGTAGTGCTTTCTGCCTCCTTCTGTTACTCCCACCCTTCCCAGTGCCTCCTGCCTTGTTTATGCCATTCTGACCTTAAGGCTCCATTATAAATACAGTGGTGCCTCACTTGACGAGGGTAATTCGTTCAGTTCAAATTGCTGTTAAGTGAAATCCTCGTCAAGCAAAATTAAAAAATCCATTGAAATGTATTGAAAACTGGTTCAGTGCGTTCCAGTGGGCGAAATACCTGCTCATTTTGCGAAGATCCTCCATAGGGCAGCCATTTTCCGGTGCCTGTAAAGCGAGGAATCCGTCCTAAAGCACAGCGGGGAGCCATTTTGCACAGTGGGTGGACATTTTAGAGCCACCGATCAGCTGTTTTAAAATCGTCATCTAGCGAATAATCAGTTCCAGAAGCAGGGAACCGAACATCGTTAAGCGAATTTCCCCCATAGGAACATCGTTTTGCGATCGCAATAGTGATCGCAGAAACTTCATCGTAAAGTGAATTTGTCGTTTAACAAGGTAATCGTTAAGCGAGGCACCACTGTAGGTTGGTGTTTAGGTGTCCTGTACAGAGATTTAATAGAATTCTTAGGAGTCAGGCTGAATCATAACTTGGAACAGTAACAGATCTTCTGGATTCTGTATTTGCTAGGGACATAAACTGAGAACAAGAAAAATATCTGGATGGGAAACTAGCAGTTAATGTGAGTCTGGTCTGCTGTAAGGATATGGAAAAGTAAAAATGTTTAGCATAGTTTGAATGTGTTGCTTTATTTCTCTGGAGTGTATAAATGACTCCAGATTCTGCCTCCTGAGTTCTTGTTCAACACTATAGCCGTTGTTCAACACTATAGCCATTGTTTGACACTATAGCCATTGGCTCTCTTATTAAAGATAAGGTGGAAAACACCAAGATTTCATAAACTGAAAGATTTGTAGTTAGTAGCGAACTACAAGTCATCTAGTCCAAATTCCTGTCAATGCAAAGTTTTTTGTATGCATGATTAATACACTGTTAAGAAGAACTAAGCAGCACCTCAGTCAAGGTTTCTATCTATTTGAAGGATTCAGTTAATGACTAAAAGTATATGCTGTACTTAGAAGAATGGGTAAAAAGAAGGCAGGAGCCGTTTAATTAATACACTGTAGTATATAGAACAATTTCCATTATGTTCCTTCTCCGTATAATGAATAATACAATATCTTAAAATGCAATTACAAATAGTACTTGGTATCTGAAAGTCTTTGTTCTTTTGCACAAACAACATTTGAGAGAACAAGTACTTATGAGGAAAACAAAAACAAGCCAGAAAAAAGAGTAAAAATTATGCCCATTAGAACTGGGAGCAGTACATTTGGTGTTACATTTGAAAAGTAGAAGGCACATATGACAGCATCTCATCAGATTTCTATACCTTCTGCTTTTGGAATTTGGGGAGTGTATGGAACAGGATACTGACCACTATCTATTTAACACATCTTTCTGCTGTCATCTATTTCTGATTGGAATGTCGTCTTCTTAATGGTTACAGGTATCGGCATTAGTAACTATGTATAGCCATGAAGAAGATATTGATAGTGCTATAGAAGTTTTGCAACAGGCTATTGAATGGTATCAGGAATACCAGGCAAGTATTAGAGTGTGATGTGATTCAAGTGCACAACGTGTCCAGTTTGTGTGGGGATAGAGGAAGAGTTTGTTTTTAAATCACATTTCTCCCGGCAAAAGAGTAATGGTAATAAGTGGGAGAAGAAAAACTGTCATATGTTCAGTACATCATTCTATGTTTTGTACTTGTTAAAACATTTACAATCTTCTGAATCTTTTTATCAATTTTTTCTTAAGTGGTTTAGTAATAATTTTCTGGAAGTTGGATTTCTTTCTCCTGAGGTTGAAACGTTTCACTACTCATCCAAGCAGCTTCTTCAGTCTGAGGGGAGTTGGTAGGGGACTCTTGATATATCCTCCATGTTGGTTTCACTTCCCTCTGGTCTGAATAGGCTCGTTAGAAGGATAAAGGATGGGTGGGGAGTGAGAGATAATCCCACTTCTGCAGTCCTTCTCCACCCATTGTCATGGGTCATTAACAGAGATCTTTCTGCTGTGTGTGGTCCAGTCTTTCTGGAGACGGATGAAAGGGCAGCATGATAAATATGAGATAAATCTTTCTTCTCGGATGAGTAGTGAAACATTTCAACTTAATAAGAAATCCAGTTGTCATGACTCAACTTCCAGATAACCTCACCTGGATGGCTGAGAATCTTCACAGATTTAGGAACAGTTGTTTTCAAGTTGTGACCCTTGGGAGCACTGCTAAGTGAAATTTCCCATTTGCACCTGAAATGTCCACAGAGGCTGGCAGTTGTATCTCTGCATGATTTACTGTTCAGAACTTATATCCTTGAAGTCACTTCAATGGGGTTGGATAATTCCATACTTGTCTGCTGTAGATGTGATCTGGATAATTTGGTTCTCCCAGTGGGGAGAGAGATGCACAGAGAAATGGAAGGGGAGAGATCCTCTGATGTGTAGAAATTGCATATGAATACCTGGTTTTCTGACAACTGTGCAGTGTTTACAGAATACACCTTCTTTTATTTCCAGCCAAAGTCTCCAGTTCATTTGTCACTCATAAGGGAAGCTGCCAACTACAAGCTAAAACATGGCCGGAAGAAGGAAGCCATCAGTGACCTGGAGGAACTGTGGAAGTAAGTCTTTTCCTAACAGAAAAAAAAGTGTGTCTTATGAGAAGTACCTGAAGTGAGTTCACTGATTTCTTAAATAGTTTGTTGAACATTATTTCAGTAGCAGTCTGAAGTATCTTCATGGAGCACTCATTGAAAATAAGGCAAAGGATATTAAACCCAGGTGGACTGATGGGTGGAACAATGAACAAAGTTAGAGACAAGCTCTAGTCTTACTGTGTAAATGCTGAGGCAGGTGGACCACTTCAGCTTTTTGTAAAGTTTAAGTCAAGAGTGAAATGCAGGTCAACAGCGTAAAATCTCTTAAGATATGTGGTTTCATACCAAGTAATTACTGATAGCTGGAGGAAACTTTGCAGTTATTTTGTCTTGATGACAGACTATATGAAAGATTGCTTTGTCCCAAATGAGCTTGTCCATAATGTGATATCTTCATCAGAAACTGTTGCATGTCCTACCAGAGCAATGGCTGAGTTGGTGGATATGTAAGACAGGGCTTTCCTGTAGCAGCACCATCATCTGCGACACCGTAAAGACTGCTATATTTTAATGTGAGCTTTCATGAACAAGTGCACTTCAGACATAAAGTGGTACCTTGACTTGCGAACTTAATCCGTTCCGGAAGATGGTCGTAACTTGAAATGGTCGTAAGGCGAAGCATAATTTCCCATAGGAATGCATTGAAATGCAGTTAATACGTTCCAGCTGAAGAACCCCCCCCCCAAAAAAAAAAAAACTGCAAGACCCATCAGAAACGTGATTAATCCACTCTGGCTGAAGGGGGTGGGCAAAAAGCAAACAAACTGTGCAAGACCCATCGGAAATGCAAAAAAAAAAAAGCAAAGCAGAAAGCAAGCAAACCCCATAAGACTAATCAGAAATGGGGGGAAAACCCAAAAAGCAAACAAACCCCCCAAGACCCATCGGAAATGGGGGGGGGAACTAAAAAGCAAACAAACCCTCTAAGACCCATCAGAAATGGGAAGAAACAACAACCAAAAAACAAACAAACCCCCCAAGACCCATCACAGCACAGAAACATAACCCCCCCAGCCAAAAACCATGCTGCAAAACCCACCCAGAACAATTTTTAAAAAGCAGAAAGCAGCACCTTACCTTACCAGGCAGTCCGAAGCCTCCTCCGATCACACTCACTCTGGCCGTTGGGACAAAAGAGCTACAAAAAAGCAGCCTTTTGCCTACCAATGGTTAGTAATTTGAATTCCCCGCCTTTTCCCCCTGCTTTTTTTATTGTAACTTGAAGCTCCGGCCGCAGATCGAAGCAAAATTTTGTGGCTTGAGCTTGTCCTAACTCAGAATGGTCATGTGTCGGGACATTCATAAGTCGAGGCACCACTGTATTGAGTGAAATGCTTAATGATAGTAATAGTCGGTCAGACTTGTGAGAATGGCCAAAGGTTTAACTTCCCTTTGAAAGGGTCATTCATATGCAGGTTACTCATTGCCCTGTGACCCTTGGAAGGCCAGATGCTGTATTTGGGGTCAGGTTTGTCCTATGTTGCTTATCCAGAGAGTGTCATTTTCTTGTTGGATATGTTGTTTATCACACTCTGTTGTTTCCCTGGCTTTCAGAACATCTCTGTGAAGTAGGTCTCTGATTATCCGTTTTTTGTGGATTGGGAACTGAGGCAGAGGTAGATTTCTAAAACCACACAGTGGGCTTCTAGCTAACACAGGGCTTAAACCCTGGTCATCCTGCAGTAGTCAGTGAATAAGAACACATTGCCTTCAGGCAGTCTGCAATGGTGCCTTCCTCTATGTATTGGGAAAACTCTACCAGCAAGCACACAAATACTGGAGTGGTCATAACAACCAGATAGGCAGGATATAAATTAATTGATTGATTGATTGATTGAATGAATGAATGAATGAATGAATGAATGAATGAATGAATGAATTAGGTCTTGAGCAAGCAATTAAACTGAATGATTGTTGCATCACTAAGAGCAGGAGGGGGCAGCATGTCCGCAGAGTGAGCAGTCTTCATACTTTCATTTTCTGCCTCTTACCCCTAAGTGAAGATAACTGGCTGGACCAGCTCTGGCCTGTGGATGTAATTCAAATGAGAAGTACAGAGACAACTTGCTTCTTGAAATACTGTGTTGTTTTTGTGAATGCTGTGGGAGGTGCAAGTAGGATGCCTGGCTAACATGTGCAAGTTTTTCCTTCAACTGGCTGCTCTTTCTGGAAGCGAGTATATGACTGCTAGACCTCTTTACTTTTGCAGGCAGAATCCAGATGATGTACACACCTTGGCCCAGCTCATCTCTGCTTACTCTCTGGTTGATGCTGAGAAAGCTAAAATGTATCCTTCATGGTGTGGCTGAGGTAGGGGAGACTAGGAGGCTGAGGGATGGAGGAGTAGTTCCTTAACTTCCTAAAATAGGGATATTTGTTGTAGTGATGCTTTGTACGAGTTTCTCCCTTTTTGTTAACACGGTAATCCAAAAAGGGAGTATACTACTAAGAAGAAGAACCATTAAGTATCTGTCAAGCACCCTTCTTCATAGCATGGGATTGTGGAACATGTTCTGGGACTCTCCCTTTCCTAGAGGCATATGCCGTGCCTTTTGAACCTCACCATTGTCTCTTGGGAGACACATTCAGTGCATACTGAATTCCCTATAATATACACCTATAATATGGGTCTACAGTTTTTTAGATGTCATCTGCTTCAGAGATAAAATACACTATTTATTCTGTATTTTGATGTCCTGGATTCAAATATGATGATTAAAACAACTAATTGGCTACTGTTTCCAAGGTATTTTAAGTTTTTACATTTTAGTCAATGTATGTTTGTTTCTATAGCAGAGTTTTAATCATAAATTATAAATTAGGTATTTTCACTTATAATTATAAATTATAACTAATATTCCCTCTAATTTTCTGGAGTACTATGCAGAGCCTCTGCCTCCTGCATGCTGGATTCCAGCTGCAACCGGAAGCAAATGGATGAAAACACTGGCTGTGCTAACACAGCACTGCACACCTGCATGCCTTAGAGGGAACATTGCCCACAATACCCTGTTTCCCCGAAAACAAGACCTAACCTGAAAATAAGCCCTAGTATGATTTTTCAGGATGCTCGTAATATAATCCTACCTCTAAGTCCAAGTTAAGTGAAACCCTGCCTTCCACCATTGTGCAGCAACTAGAAAATGACATGGCTGTATTTGAATAAATGTAGATTGTGGTACATGAAAAAAATAAAACATCCCTTGAAAATAAGCCCTAATGATTGTTTTGGAGCAAAAATTAATATAAGACCCTGTCTTATTTTCAGGGAAACACGGTACATTCCCTATAACTGTGTATCCACTGTGGGTCTACTGAACACAGATATTTTCACCAACCCCTTTCCTTCCATGGAGAAACCCAAGGTTTCCTTGGCGTTCTTCTTCTTCTACCTAAGAAGACAGCTGGAAACCTGTTATCCAGTCCTATACACTGATCATGCCATCACATTACTTGGTTCTGTCTATCAATACTGAATTCTTGAGAAGAATTTTACTTTGTTGTTCTTGTTTACCAGATGTTCACTCCTTGTTCTTCCTAAGCTCCTCTCTTCCAATAGTCTCAGCAAACACTTGCCCTCCTCGGACACAATGTCTTTGAAAGTAGATGTGGATGCACTTGAAAATTCACATGGGGCTACATATGTTCGAAAGAAAGGAGGGAAACCCACACCTGAGAACCCGCAAAAAGAACAAGGGTAAATGAGTTTCTCATAATGCTATATTATTGTGAACAATGATTATTTTTAGAAGTCTAGCTCAACAGCAGTGAACAAACAGATAAATAAAAAGTTTAAAAACAAAGCCATAAAAACTCTTTGTTTCATTAACTTTGTTCCTTATGTTGCATCCTATTTGAAGAAAGCTTATGTGTGTTCATTTTGCTTCCTTTTTAGCCAAGGGGATGTCAAGAAGAAGAAGAAGAAAAAGAAAGGTGAGTGTTATGTTGCCTTTGGCTAATCCTGGTCCAGAAGCAAAAGATGCTCTTGCCAATATTGGTGAGGAGGATACAAATATCGTCAGCCTAGGGCAGAATTTCAAAAGTTGGCTGAAGGTGTTTAAATTAAGTGGAACTTTAACAGATGTTAGAAACTCCCAGAAATAGTATAACTAACAGTACACATGTTAACTGGAAGGACACTGGAAGGACAGATCCTGAAGATGAGGCTCCAATACTTTGGCCATCTCATGAGAAGAGAAGACTCCCTGGAAAAGATCCTGATGTTGGGAAAGCATGAAGGCAAGAGGAGAAGGGGACGACAGAGGACAAGATGGATGGACAGTGTGATCAAAGCTACCAACATGAATTTGACCCAACTCCGGGAGGCAGTGGAAGACAAGAGGGCCTGGCGTGCTCTGGTCCATGGGGTCACAAAAAGTCGGACACAACTTAATGACTAAACAACAACACAAAGGTTAACAACAATATATAGAAGGTCTTTCCTTATGTCTATTCTGAATTCTAATAGAACTCCAGTAAGTGGATTCAAAATCGAATCAAGTCTGAATTCTCCCTGGAAGCAAAATTGGCTGATCTGGGGCTATTATTCTTTGGGCACATCATAGAACACAGGACTCACTGGAAAAGACAATAATGCTGGGAAAGGTTGAAGGCTACAAGAAAAGAGGAATGACATATAAAATACAGTGGTGCCTCACTTAACAATTACCTCGTGAAATGACGAATACGCTTTATGATGAGTTTTTGCGATCGCAATATCGATCGCAAAACAAAGGAATGACAAATAAAATACAGATCGCAAAACAGTGTTTAGATAGGGAAATTTCGCTTGACGATTATCGGTTCCCTGCTTCGGGAACCGATTTTTTGCTGATTGGCGGCTCTAAAATGGCCACCCGCTGTGCAAAATGGCTCCCTGCTGTGCTTTAGGACAGATTCCTCGCTTTACAGGCACCGAAAATGGCCACCCCTATGAAGGATCTTTGCTGGACGCTAAGGTATTTAGCCCATTGGAACGCATTCAACCGGTTTTCAATGCATTTCACTGGGCTTTTTCGTTTCGCTTGACAAGTATTTCACTTAACAGCGATTTCAACGGAACGAATTATCTTTGTCAAGCGGGGCACCACTGTATGGGTTGATTCATACACTCGAGTATGCAAGAGTTAGCAGAGTTATTGATGATAGAGCTTTTGGGAGGTCACTAATTCATAGGGTTGAGTATGCAAGAGTTAGAGTTATTGATGATAGAACTTTTGGGAGGTCACTAATTCATAGGGTTGACAGACGTCAGAAATGAGTTAACAGCACCTAACGACAATAAGATTCCGTTGCCTGTATCATATTTCTGCAGTCCTTTATGCACCTTATAGAAATGTTCCAGAGAACTTGAAAACCCTCTGTGCCAGGTAGTCTGGTGCCATGGAGAGCTGCAAGGGGGGAATAGAAGCTGAAATGTTGTTGCTAAACCGCTAGTGTTATACTGTATAATGAAATGCAACACTATATCTTGACCAGTTCTCTTATAGAAAGCCGGTTCTCCATAAGCCAGTATTTCAGCCTTGGGATGGTGTGTTAGTACGGCATGTTAGTTAGGACAACAAAATATTGCTTAAAGGAAAATGTAAGAACATATATGCATACATAGTATTTCTTCCCTTGCACCCAGCACTTGCTTTCTGACTAAGGGAATTGTATGCACCTTTGGACTAGTCATACTTCTAATGCAGCTGTTCTTAAACTAGAATGTGTAACTGAGTCTTCCCATTCCAAATGCTCCCTAGGAAAACTGCCAAAGAACTATGACCCCAAAATGACCCCTGACCCTGAGCGATGGCTTCCAATGCGGGAACGGTCCTACTATCGCGGGAGGAAGAAGGGCAAGAAGAAGGACCAGATTGGGAAAGGAACACAGGGAGCAATGACAGGTGCATCCTCGGAATTGTGAGTGACTGGATCCAACCTTATAATGTCTTAAATAATGATGAATCACAGAGTACCTACTTCAGTATAAGAGATAGTTGATGGTCATGCACAATTTCTGGGGAAAAGAAATTGCCAGATTGAATCAGGATAAGATGGATGGAGGCCAGGGGGAGGCAGCTACTCCTGTGCAGTTGGCTCGGAGGAAAGGAGCAAAACTGGCTGGAGCTTCCACCAGTACTTAGCAGCAGGGTTCATTCTATATGAGCATGGAGTGAAGCTCTCTTCCAGTAACTACTAATTGTCAGCTGCGGCTTATGCTTGCAGCAGTGGCTGAGCGCTGTCTCCATAGCCTTTACGAATTCATGAGAAATTCCCCTAGCTAGAATTCTGGTGGTTCCAAGTTGTCAAAAGAGTTTCAGGGTCCTCACATGTTCCTTGCCAAGGTTCTCTCTACACTGATGACCATTAATTGTGAAGAAGGACATGGGTGGAGCTTTCTAAGCTCCATTGGCACCACAGACTACCATCCTTTTAGTCTCTCTATTTTTTATGCCCTGTAGAGGGTGCTCCTCAAAAAGCTTTGATGTCCCATGGGAAAACTCCCCTCATGCCCACCCTTTAATTGCTATCTGCAGAGAGAGCCTTGGCAAGGAGTAGGTGAGAATCCTGAAACTCTTCCGAGAACTTGGATTTTTTGACTAAAACTACCAGAATTTTACTGGGAAAATTTCTACTGAACTCTTGATAGTTGTACTCCCCCCCCCCTAAAAAAAAAAAACATACCTGGCCTTCCCAATGGTGTGTCCCACCACATGTCCCACCTGCATATGTGCAGAAGTTGAAGAGGATTCTGTCATGCAGTTTGCTGTACACACTGGGGGTTTTAAATATGAGAGGGGTGGTAAAAGTGACACAAAAGTTCTTTAGCAAGCTCAAATGCCTATGACACCTGCAGGGAGGGAACTGTGATCATTAGACAATGCATCAGTGTGACTTGTCCTCAGAACGTGAGCTGGGAGGTGGGGCAGTGGGTTTGCATGTCTTCTTTGCAACATCAGAAGCTGGCAGAGCATAATTATCAGGAAGGGATATTTTTGTAGACCACCACAACCACCAGCTCAGAAAATCAGGAGAAAGGAAAAGATACGAAAATGCAGACCCTGGGAACATTTTTAACTTAACAAATGGAACTGCTTTTCTGAATCTTCTAAGTTCCTGGGGTCTCCAGTGTTCTCTATGTCTTTTTCTCCTGAACTGTTTTGCTAGAGATGGAGGTAGCAGGGAGTTAACAGCCTATATTTAGGGAGGCCATGCAGTTTTTCACTTGGAGAGACCCTCCAGGTGAACTATGTAGGAAAGTATCACTTTTTCCTACATTGGGGAGTTATTAATATCTTTAGTGACAGCAGCATACATTGAACTATTCTCTGCTCTGATAGCATACCCATATGGGAAATGGGGTGAAGGCTGGGCAAATCAATACGATATAGAGGAGTGAGCAATGAACTGTCACAACTGTAGCACATACTTTGCTACAATTTGATCAGCAGTCTAAATATAGTCATAATATATTTAGTATATGGATCAGTGTGAGGGTTCAACCTTTAGCTCCATTTTTGTTTCAATGAACCCAGCAGACTTTTGTTGTTTTGAACTAGGTATAATTTTTATTGGGGTATTCAACAAATAAAAAGTGTCCATAACATGACCCGATTGCTTCTCTCTTTCTGACAATGGGTCTTGAAAGGGCTTCCCATCTTTAAATAAGAACGGGTTTCTGCCGCTGGCGTTCCATAGACCCAGCCAATATGTAAATATGTAGTCTGCTGTGGTCTGTCCCATCTCACCTTCCAACAAGGGCAGGGTCATCGTCCGGGTTGTCATGCCACAAGAGTTGTCTGTCTGCTGAATCCTTCCAGGGTCCTCCCTGTAACCCGTCTGCTGTGGTCTGTCCCATCTCGCCTTCCAACAAGGGCAGGGTCGTCGTCCCGGTTGTCATGCCACAAGGGTTGTCTGTCTGGTGCTGAATCCTTCCAGGGTCCCCCCTGTAACCCTTCCTCCTCATCTCGCTTCTATAATCTGCCTCCTCCTTCGGCACTCTTAACCTCTCCCACACCCCAGTCCAGGGGTCCTCCATTCATACCCATTCCAAGCCTGGCGGTAACTGCTTTTCCTTCCTTTTTATCTCTGCTGTCCACGCCTCAAACTCCACCCTCTTCTTCCTCTCTTTTCCCGCCAATTCTCCCTGACCCCCTCCTAATGTCATTCTTTGTATCTCTTTTCCTTGTCCGCCTGTTTCTGTCCCTTGCTGCTCTGTCCTTGGGGACAATGGAGTAGGTTGTGTCTGTATTTCCTTCTCTTCAGTATGGAGGAGGGACGTCTCTCTGGCGAGTGGGATATCCCTCTCGCCTCCTGTCTCACAGTCAGGTGCATATATTCTGTACTACTAAAGCCACATTTATTGTGGAGTTGCTTAATAAATCTTGAATTCAGGTAGAAATTATCAAGGGGAAAACAACAACCAGACAGTTTAATTTATGTATAGTACAGAAATGAATGGTATATTACACTGTCAAAATACTATAAGCAGTAGTCAGTCCTTACTCAGGCTACTTTTTATATTTTCCTCATAAAATCTAGTGCACGTGGTATATTTTTTAGAGAAGAATAGGTTCTTCGGTGTAGGCAATAGCATACAACATGTAGTGATGTCTGTGGAAGCAGGTTTTAAGTTTTGTTCAATTTTTTGCTGTGGTCTGGAGTACAGAAAATGCACTATCCCTCTGAAATTTTTGTGACAGTAGTTCTACTTCTCCCATCCTGTCTGCAGAGATGCTAGCAAGACTGCCAGCAGCCCTCCTACTTCCCCGAGGCCTGGCAATGTCACAACTGTCCCATCTGCATCAACCAGCAACATGGTACCACCAAGGCATCAAAAGCCCGTTGGCGCAGCAGCAACCAAGAAGAAACAGCAACAGAAGAAGAAGAAAGGCGGGAAAGGAGGCTGGTGATCTGGACAAGCAGCCTGTTCCTAATGAGATTGTCTGCCCTTTTTCATCCAATTTCAAGTGCAAAGAGCTTAATAAAAAGATCAAACAAAGAGCAAGATGGATGGGAGTTTGTCAAAGATTGTTGGTTCTTCTTTAGGGAAAAGAGAGGAGTTCCTTTTTTCTTTATAGTCCCCACTGTGGGTTGTGACATTATTACCTACCAGTTCCAGCCTTTGAAGAAATGTTACTTAATAATGTAGTGGTAGCTCTGGCACTTACTATCTACTGATCAATGAATGTCTTGTTTTGTTTGGTACCAAAATCACACCTACAGTTGTACATTTTACTGAAGTCTAAATTACAGCTGCTTTTTGACATACTTGAAATGTGCGGGCTTAGAGTTAAAAAAACAGCAATGTTGCTATGTGGAGAGTCCAGAAATCTCAATCTAAGGATGTCAGTATTTCAGTACTGTCTGCAAATATGGTTTCTGTCTACAAGTAAATACCTTGAGTACAGTTCTCCAGTGCATCACAGCTATCCTCTATCTTTCCTTTTCTCAGGCCTTGTAGGCTATTCATAATGGTTGCAACCAGAGTATTGTACAAGCTGGACGTCTACAGGAGCAATGGAGAAGAGCTCTTTGCATGTCCTCTGTTCTGGCCGATAGTACAGACTCCATAGGCAGGAGGGATAGGGCACTGCAAACCCCCGTCTAATGGGATACCATTTAAGATCAAAGTGCTCCAGCAGAAACTGTTGGGAGGTTGTTGTATCCTATCCCTCAAACAAAGAATACATTTTGTCTGACAGCGGAACAACAGCTATGCATGCACACTCCCTCCCCACCCTTTCTGTTGGGGCTTGGAAGTAGCTAGTTACTAGAAGTAACACTATACAGTGGTGCCTCGCACAGCGAGGTTAATCCATTCCGGATTAACCCTCGCTGTGTGAAACATCGCTCAACGGAAAGTAAAAAGCCATTGGAACGCATTAAACATGGTTTAATGCGTTCCAATTCGGCCGAATACTCACCGTTGTGCGATGTTCCGGGATGGCTGGCAGCCATTTTCGCGCCCTCCCCTCACTGAACGAGGGCATGAAAACACTGTGATCAGCTGTCCGGCGGGTCCAAAATGGCCGCCGGAACAGCCGAAATGGCTGGGTGCAGCATTTTCGCACCCTTGGTAAGCGAGGGGAGGGGACAAAAATGCTGCGCGCGGCCAAACGCCGGCAGCGTTTTCGTGCCCGCCCCTTGCTTACCAAGGGCGCGAAAATGCTGCACCCGGCCCTTTCGGCTGTTCCAGCGGCTATTTTGAAGCCGCGGAACAGCTGATCGGCGGGTCGCAAAGCGAAGGTCGGTAAGCGAACCGCTTACTGACCTTCGCTCTGAATTTTCCCCTATCTAGGTGCCGTTTTGCGATTGCATTTGCGATCGCAAAAACAGCATCGTTGCGCGGATTCGTCACTCTACGGAGCGACCGTTGCGCGAGGCACCACTGTAACTACTTTTGGGTACCATAAGGTGTCCTGTAAAATTACTTGTAAATGTACAGTAACAGATAACAAGAATTGGCAACTAGAAGGACTCAGAATTCTGTGGCCTGTTGGAATCATGCAACAATGTGTTAACCCCAAGTCTATGAGTATATGAGTAGGCAGCACCCTCCAGGCAATGCTTTGAATCCAGACTTAAACTGACTGGGATGTGGATAGTGAGAATTCTTCCACGTTTGTGGCCTGTTTTTCTTCATAATTTTAATATAATCTACGAGGGGATGCTGATAAGTATTGAGCCTTACACAGAAAAAAATTGAGCTAGGAAGCTGTAACTGCCACACTATTCTACATATTCCCCCCAGGAAGTCAATGCATTTGCGACATCTGTCCTGTAGCTTCTTAAGTCCCTGCAAATAAAGTTCTTCCGACTGCTGGTGTAGCCACTCATTTACAGCATTAGTTGCCTCCAGAACACTCCCGAACCTTTGTCCCTTTAGGTGTTTTTTGGGGAACAGATAATAGAAGGAGCCAGATCAGGAGAATAGGGTGGATGGGGCATCACTTGAAAGCCTAAGGACGTCAGTTTTGCCATTGTTTCACCTGCAGTGTGTGATGAGGTGTTGCCATGCAACAGGATGACACCTTTGGAGAGCTTTCCTGGACGTTTTTCCTTGATGTTTTGCCTCAACTTCATCAATAAAGCAGAGTAATATTTTGCATTGATGGTTGAACCCTGTTGGAGGTAGTCCACCAGCAGAACTCCCTTCTTATCCTCCCCCCAAAAAAACAACAACCAAAAAACCTTTGCCATTTGCTTCTGCACCAACCTTTGCACTTGGAACTTCTTTGGCCTGGGGGGAACCACTGTGCCTTCATTCCTTAGACTGTTCCTTTGTCTCAGGAACATAGCAGTAGATCCATGTCTCATCACCAGTTACCAGTTTGCCCAGGAAATCTGACTCATTTCTTGCAAAATGTTCCAAAACAGCCACCGATGACTCCACGCATTTCCTCTTTTGTTTGGTTGTCAAAAGTTTGGGGATCCACTTTGCTGCCAGCTTTCTCATTTCCAAGTCATTGTGGATAATGGCACCAACTCTCTCATGTGATATTCTCAGATATATAGCAATACCTTTGACTGATACTCGTCGGTCCTCCATGTAATGGATGGCTTTCACATTTGCAGGCACAGAGACAAACAGAAACAGGCCTTCCACTGGGTTTATCACTTTCAACACTGAAATAGCCAGTTTTAAAATTGACAACCCAATGTTTAACTGTTGCATATGAAGGGCCAGACACCCATAGTTTTGCACCTTTCCCTTGGAGAAACAGGAACTTGATTATGGTCCTATGCTTTTTCACATTGGACTTTTCTGGAGGTGCTGCCATGTTCACTTTGGAGCTGAACATGAAAGGTAAGTTAAAATCATAGGTACCGTAGTTGATTTTTGCACCATTGAATACAGACAAATTAGCCAATACACCCTGCAATTTATAGCTTTACCTCAATTTTTTTCTGGAAAAAGGCTCAATACTTGTCAGCACCCCCTTGTATATCTCTCTTTCCCAATCCTACTTTGTGTTCTACTTGCATTTGTTTGCTCTGGCTACAGAGGAAAGGGCACATGAAATAGGAGATGGAGGAATTTTCTTTGTTCCCTCACTTCTACTACTACCATGCTCAGTGTTGTCTTTTTACTTCCATCTCTCTCACCTGCATTTTGTTTTACAACATTTCTCTATAATCATCTCTCATTTACTTCTCTATTCTCTGAGCTTCCTCTAATTGGTCAGAGGCAAATAAACACACAAACAAGGTAGGAGGAATAAAAGTGGAATCCTTCCTCTGATTGCTTTGATTAATATGGTCTGCCTATAATAATGACATCCTCTGGGTCTGAAACTGTTACAGACTGTTTTCCCCCCTCTGAACCTCCGTAGACAACAATAATCCAAAAATTTCAAAGGATTCCAAATCTTTCGTATCTGCTGTTTATTCTCTTTGCTCACTTTTGGGTCATATTTCTAACAATTTTCATATTCTCTACTCTTTATTGTAAACTTGGAATTTTCATTCTTGCTTAAGCCTTAGAGAGGAAAAACTTTGCTTTTTAAAAAGCTTTGTTTTAGCAGAGCAGATAGAGTTGTACTGTCTCTGTATTAATTGCTAATGTTCAAGGAGACATATAGAGATTAAGGTAAAGGTAAAGATGGCCCTTGACATTTAGTCCAGTTGTGTCTAACTCTAGGGCATGGTGCTCATCTCCGTTGCCAAACCATAGAGTGAGCGTTTTGTCCGTAGACAGTTTCTGTGGTCACATGGCCAGCACAACTAGACACGGAATGCCATTACCTTCCCACCGAGGTGGTACCTATTTATCTACTCGCATTTTTACATGCTTTCGAACTGCTTGGTCGGCAGGAGCTGGGACAAGCGATGGGAGCTCACTCCATCATGTAGATTCAATCTTACGACTGCTTGGTCTTCTCACCTTGCAGCACAGAGGCTTCTGCGGTTTAACCTGCAGTGTCACCACGTCCCTTTAGAGATTAAAGACCTTCATTAAACAAAAACAGGTTGCTTTTTGGTTAGAAGACTGATTTGCATGGTACTTGTTTTGAAGTTCCTCAAAGGAATAGGTTCTTTTCATGTCAGTGGCCTGAATTTTGTTGTCTACACACCACTATTAAATCAGAGTAAATCTAATCAGCTTTAGATGTTGACACCTGTATTCCTCATTCCCTGTCAAATCGAGCAACTCAACTGTGACGAATATTGGCATTGACTTTTTACCCAGCAGAAATATGCCACGGAGATTTATGCCATTTGACCTATGCCTATGTGAGTAATTGGATTCTGGTCACTGCCTCAGTTCTATTGTATGTTGCAGTATCTTGGGTTTTAATGCAGGCAAGCTATAACTTGAATGCAGGTAACTATGAAAGTAAATTATTTGAAAGTTTCTCAATGAATGCTAAGAACGTTAGAGATTGACCAAGATATATTAAATAAGACCAATAAAGAAACATTTAAAAATACTCATGTGACCATTCCTTGTCCTTTAAACTGCCGTTTGCTTTCTTTGGGGTAACCAAGCGGTTAAATTGAAACTAAAATCAGTTGTTTACTGAAATATCACAAGGGTTAAACTGCACATTCTTAAATTTGAAGTTCCATGAATTGTGTCAACTTTAGAACTAGCTCTCCCTGCCACAAAGTAATTATTTTATATAGCCCACTCCAAAACCAAACTCCTTAGATACTATTTCACTCCTCCTTTCTCTGATCTCCTCTTCAGCTCTTCTTTTTATATCACCCGCTGCCTCCCCTGGACTGGCTTTCTGACTTCTTCCAATTTCTTCCTTTCTGATGTTGCTGGGCGAAACAGGTTGCGGAATCCCTCGCAACTCTTAATATTCAAAAACCTGTGATAGAATACTTTGCTCGTGTGTCCAGAAACAAAAAAAAGAGCAGAAGATAGCTACAGACAGGTGGACCTTCAGGAAGGTGAAGAGCAGTGTTATCTGAAAGAGCTGGGGACTGCTTTGGGTGTAACACATCATTGTGACACACACACACACAAAAGATGCCAGTGGGCCGTCACCGCTTGACGCATTATCTATTCTGACCTAAGCCTTGGTGGTTACAGCGGGGGTTACCCGTCGGTCCTTCCCTCCGGCAGAGAAATGGGGGCGTTTCACGTGTTGCGCGCCCGGAGAGAGACGGGAGGAAGCGCTTCTTGGAGAGATGGCCGGCTCGCTCCACTTTAGGGGCCGCTGGCAGGCCCCGGCGCGGCCGCAGAGGGCACCAGGAGGCGGGTCGAGGCGAGTCAGCGGGGAGAGGAAGGGCTGGGCTGGGCTGAGGGCGTGCACACGGGTAGCCGGCGGACGCCTTTGCTGGGCGAAGCCGCCAGCCCTGCTTGGAGGCGCGGCGGCGCGTTCTCCTGCCTGCCTTCGGGCGCTTCCCGTGAACCTCTGGCGGGGCCATGGCGGGAAGCCTGCGGCAGATCGCTCTGGCCGGCGCCGCGGTGGCCGTCACCGGAGGGGTCGCTTATGCGGTGTGGAGGAGCTATTTCCCCGCCAAAGCTCCTCCGGGGCCCTGCCCGCCTCAGGAGCCTTTGCTCAGCGCCCCAGAAGGAACCGCCCTCGGCTGCACCCCGGAGCTGCAGGTGAGGGGCCGGGAGTTCCCCTGGGAGGGGGGCGGGGGCGGCGGCGATCCCCAAGGGGTTTAGGCCCAGTTCTCATAACCAGCGACTGAGGGGGGCAAACCTGCGTCTAGCTGCCGCCTATTGAGCCCGCATTTGAGGGGCTAGCATTGCCGAATGCTTTTTCCCTCTTAAACAATAAAATCCGTGCCTGGAGAACGTGAGCACGCGAGTCAGAAGGGGTCGCCTCCCGTGTTCTGCTTGGCCTCGCCTGTCGTCGGGTTCGCCGCTTCCTGCAGCCTCCATTCCAAACCATTTACGGACTGGCCCCCTTTATATGTGTGAAAACTTAGGTCCAGCTCAGATTTCCTTTCAGGTGTGAATAGGGGTGGGATGGAGGGGTCCCAGTAAACAACATGGACAATTCGTACACCTGGCAGTTTTCTTCGCTTTCTTTCTGCTGATAGTAGTACAGGTATTTTTCTTTTGTATGTTGTTCGGTTTGAAAGGGGGAGAGAACTAATCTGGGGGGGGGCTGAGGAGCAGGGCTTGTGTAAGTTCCACTTCTCTGTCTGCTCCACTTTGCTGAGAAAAAGAGAAATAGAGGTGGTGCTGTAAAATTGGTTTGTAGGCATTGGCTTTTATTTCTTTTTTAAATGATTTTGTTTTGTTTTGTTGTTCTCTCGTCCCTGGTGGACTGAGAAGTGATAAGTAAGTACTTTTAATACCAATACAGTCTTAAATGTTAGATCAGCTCAGGGCATGTCTTTTTTCCTGAAAATTGTGGCAAAGTTCAGAACTTGACAACCCCCTTTCTAAAATCCAGTTTGGAAGCAAGGTGTTTCTGAGTAAGTGCAAAGGGGATTCAGCTACATGACCGGCATGTTATGCATGCACAAATATCTGTTTTTATCTCTTAAACTTGTAAACAGCCACTTGCTTTTCCTGCTTTGGCTTAAAATCTGTTCCATCTCGAGAACACTATTTATTGCCTGAAGCAGAAAATTCAAGGTTTTGCCACAACATTCCTGTTGTTTATCTAAGGGATGCTTAACATTCTAAGACTGCTGAGTATGTTCAGTCCGCTGAAAATGTTTTTGGGACAGGGTGCCCCCCTGAATATATTTTTTTAATTGGAAAAATGTTTCCCCATACCTCAGTGTTTTCCTGAGCATGCAGATTTCTCAGTAACTTAGATCAGTCTCCAGAAGCTAGCATTACCCATTGCCGGGATTCAGTTTTACAGGGAATGAGGTAGGTCGATTGGGTAGCGAAAAACCCACATTGTAATCCAGAAATCTTAACTTCATTTTCGTAGAGGTTCTTGATCCTTTTGTCATTATTTCCAGGTTTGCTGTGTGATACTCAGGCATGAATCTTATGTTCTGCAGACATGGACAACAAGCATTTCAAGGTCAGGGACAGATTAGTCTAAAACCAGTAAGGTGGAATCCTATTAATGCCAGAGTGGAAACAGATTAGAGTAGAAAAACTCTTCAGGTTGGCTTTTCCGTCTTGGTGTTACCTTGCTGTCCGTCTTTGTTGGCAAAGCTGACTTTGTGGTGAGTCACTTTCAGAGTAGTTGCTTTTCTAACTTGCTCACTCCTTTTTGTCTTTGGTTGACTTGGCACCTAATGGTCTTAGGTCTGTTTTAAAGAGCTGTCCCAATGAAACTGACAGGCACAAAGCGAAGCTGAGTCACTGGAGATTAATTTGATATAGTGTGACATCCCTGGATTTGAAATGATTTTTTTTTTAAAAAAGGATCTCAGAAGCATGTGTGTGAACCTGAGGTCCTCAAGATGTGATTGGATACCAGTAACTATCAGCCCTGGTTAGCCGAGCCAGTGGTGAGAGGTGATTTATTTATTTATTTAGAATATTGATATTCTTCCCTATAGCTTGTGATTTCTGGGCAGGGTACAGCAACAAAAACAATATATTACAATTGTTGCCCACCCTCGTCCAGTGATATGTTACAATTGTTGCCCACCCTCGTCCAGTGAAGAGGCTCAGGGTGTCTTACATTAATTAATTCATCAGCAGAAAGGCTGCAGCTTTCCTACTTCTGCCCAAAAAGGGTCCATGTTGCCTGACTATCCTGTCAGATATTTTACTGGTTTACTCCCTTCTGTCTGATGACTACTTCCTCTCCACAAGGCAAGAAGGGCAGTTTGCTCACAAGCTGTTAGCCGAGTAACTTCAACTTTTCCATCTTTGAGAATCTGGCAATTCTCTTGATTGCTTGTCTATGAGAACAAAAGTTATGGATTGGGTCCAAAGAAAGCCACATGTGCTAAATGAGGTTGCTGTTACTTAAACTTGCAGAAGTAGAAGACATTCTGCCACCTTATAGTAAAAGAAAAAAGTCAGGGGAAGTTTATTATTTTTATAAATTATTCTCCTATTCTTTTACATACCCTGGACCTTTTTGGCTGTTATCTTGGAAACAAACTGCCTTACTTGCTCTGTGGAGAGGAACTGGTCACCAGACAGAGCAGCATATATACATAGTATACCCATACAATGAAATTCACACAGACACCCAGAGACCAGACCCACATGCACACACATAAAAAAATCCCCAAACACTCCCCACCCACTAAAAATCCCTCACTAAGAATACAAAAGATCTACACCGCAGACTAAGTAACACTGTCCAACTATTCACTACTGGAGGCCTTTAAGCTCATTATTAAGTGCAATTATAGCTCTGGGATAAAAACTATTCAGGAAACGTGTGGTCCGATTCGTAATTGTTGTATATCTTCTGCCAGATGACAGTAGTTCAAAAAAAGTTGTAAGCAGGATGGAAAGAGTCTCTCAGGATGTTGTGTGACTTCCTCAGACAGCGGGATGTGAAGATGTCATCCAGGGTTGATAGCTGGAGCCCGATGATATTCTGGGCAATTTTAATGGTTCTCTGTAGAGCTTTTTTGTCCGCTACAATGTATACTGCTCTCTTGCTTGAAAAGGTATGATGTGCTTGCTGGTGGCAGAGAAGCCTGTGCTATGTGTGCTAAAAATTATGGTGTTTTGGGACTTGATGTTAGCATGTCTCAGCTTAAGAGTGGTAAAATCTTTCACTGACACAGAAAGCCTTCATTACTCAGTACTAATAATTTGCTGTCAAGTTGATTCTGACTTCTGCTGATCTTCTCATGGCTTCTCAGGTATAAATTACTCAGGAGTGATTTTTCTAGTCACTACTTCTGGTGGCGCTCTGGTACTGTGCAACTTGCCGAAGGCCACACACGCGATGGGGAAAATAACCCCATCCAGCCACACATGCACCCTGATGATCTCAGCTGGCCTTTCTCTGGAGGCACAGTAATGATATGACATTCCAGACCTTGGCTCCACGCTCAAGCCCAGAGCAGCTATCCCACTGCTGGCGATACACATCATGAACAAAAGAGGACGTTATTGCTTCTCATATGTGTCAGTCATTTCAGCAGTTTTGGGCATCTAACCCACAAGGCACAAAAATATGTACACTCCCCTAAACTTGCAGAACATTTGCACATACAGAGTGGTAAGGTATTGTTAGAAGGCAGTATCTGTGCTTTCTCTGGTGTGCAGTTTCTGTTGCAAAACATCCCCCCTTTGTTATTAACTTGAAGATCAGTTAACAGAAATGAATGATTAAACATGATATCATTTGTCAGAAAAAGATGTTGGAAAAACAAGCACAATTTTTTTAGATCACTAAAATCTCAAAAATAGACAAGTCATCTATTAGGCTGAGCATTGCTTAATTTGTGAGTGTGTGTGTGTGAGAGAGAGAGTGGATAAAAGTCCAGAAATCATTCTGGCCAGACATTAAGGCTGAGGGTATGAGACTTGTTTAAATGAAGCTCATGCTAACAGATCCTCTGACCATTGTTTTGTTTTTATATAAACCTCATGGAATAGTACTGTGCAGTAATGGAGTGGTATATAGGTTCTTTGGTATATAATTAAAAAGTGGGTGGCAAATGCTTATCCATCCGAGCCTGGAGTTTAATACTGTTATTCTGCTTCAACATAAGAGCTCATTAAGTCCAGTTTCCGTGCTCATTTGTTAGACCCATTGGACAGGGATAGAATTTAAGATAACATGAATATCCAGAAACACTGTGCTGTGAGTTAGTATGTAAGGGACACTTCATCTAGTTACGTAAGCATTGATTAGTAGTTTGGAGGGGGGGGAGTTTAAATCTGAAACCGTGGCATGTAGCAGTCAGAGAAGGATTGGTCAATGCNNNATTTATTTATTTATATCCCCCATATCTGATCTTGCGACCATTCTAGGCGGCTTACAAGCACATAATACAACAATAAATATAAAAAGAATTCGTACATTAAATAGACAGTTCTTCAAGATGGGGAAGAAAAAATGAAAAATAAACCACAAAAGAAAAAGAGAAAGGAAAGAATCCCAGTCAGTGTTTTCCAGAAACTTACTTTGGATTAAGACTGAGGGGAAGAGAAGCCATAAAAATACTCTTATACCAGAGAAATAGCTATGTTGCACCGAAAGTCCTTAGGTGCTATAAAGATCAGTGGACTAACAGTTTAGTCTTTTAAGATGTTGGTTGAAATTTTATTTCTTACTGTGGTATGTTGCAACTCGAGGAGGTGCATTGAACCAGTGGAACATAGCAGAGGAGCTGACTCACCAAATCTCCACTCATTCAGTGGACCTATTCTAGTTGTGACTTGCTGCACTACATAGTAGGCATCCTTCAGTCTCAAGGGACTATGGTAAGGATGCCTACTATGTAGTGCAGCACGTCACAGCTAGAATAGGTCCACCAAATGAGTGGCTTGCTTCACTAAGCAACAGGATTCCAGCTGTTAGAAGACATGGCTCTAAGACAGAGAGACAGTGGTGGTTGGTAGATTCAAATTGTGGCATTTCACACCTACTGATGATTTAAGACCCCCTTTTGGTAGACATTTCTTTTGAAGCTTTTTTCTGTTAATAGCAACAATTCTTAGTGCCTATATGAACCCCCACCCCGCATAGAAACAATATAGCGTAATAAGTTGAGAATCACTGACTTCCTCTTCGAGGTTTGTTCTGTAAGGGTGGATAAACATGAAATACGAAGTCTGAGATACCTATTCATTTATTTCATTTTATCCTAACTCTTTTCCAAGAAGTTCAAAGTATGATAGGCATTTGTTCCACCCCCATATTTCATGCTAACCTCCATCCTGTCCCTTCATGGAGACAGTTTACTTTGAGGAAAATAGAAGTGGAGGTTCTTCAACATCTGTTGAGAAGCCTTTCCTGAATCCCCTAAAGAAAAGTCAGTCTGCATACAGCATTCCCTGTACCCAAAGTCTTTTCTATCAAAATGTCAATCACAGCTGGGAGAACCTTCGTGTCCTCCACCCCACCCCTGATGGTTTGGTCTACAGCTCACATGGTCCCCATGTCAATGAATGATTCTGGGCATTGGAGCTCATAGTAGCTATAGCACCGCCCATGCTTGTTTAGTTGATTAACTCACAGGAGCAGGAACCTCTTGCCTTTTTTCTTAAGCTGCAGAGTGATGTGTGTCTCTTTGTGCCACTGTGTAAATACAGAACAAAGCATCCAGGTACATTGTGGGATAATTTGTGCAGATACTAATTTAGTATAGCTTAGTGTGATATGGAGATAATAAGGTAAGATTTTTTCAGAGAAGCAGTCATGTTATTCTGCTTGAGCCTGAATAGAAGCAGACAACAGCAACACTTGTGGCACCTTTAAGACTGACGGATTTGTTTCAGTGTAGGCTTTCATTTGTTATAGTCCACCTCTTTAGACGAAAATAAATGTAGTCCATCAAAGTTCACTCTGAAATATATTTGTTAATCTCAAAGGTGCCAGAAATCCTTTTAAAGGATGTGAGCATCTTGAGTTGCCATTTATGGGCTCTAGTAATTGCTCTGACAGTTACCAGTGTGTGACACAAGCCCTCTTGCAGCAGTCTGGTAACATAACAGTTTCCAGGGAAAGATTTCCACATTGGCTTGTCTGCTGAGGGAGCCCTGAGCATCTTCCATAGACCTCTTGCATGCTGCAGAGAATGATGGGTCATGGATGAAAGAGGGAATCCCACTCACAGAGAGGAGACTGCAATGTTTACTGAGCCTTACTGTCATCCTGCCTCAGCCTGTTGTTCTAGAACAGCCTCCCTTTGGTGCTCACCTAATAGCTTGAAATGCATGCCCCATCATCCCTAACAACTGGGTGTGCTGCCAGGAATTGTGGCCTAAAATGTCTGGAACATTACACATCAAGGGACTCTGCTCTGTGATATCTTCCAGGTTTTATTTTGCAAATTTCAGGGGATAATTTAATGATCATGAGTAGAGATGGACAGGTGGCGATAACGAGGGTCCAACCCCATGGGGCCACTCACAATTCCACTCACAATTCCTCGACTGCCGTGAGCTCCAGGATCCTTCTTATCACTCCGGAGCTTGCGATCTGTGAGTTACCCTTCAACCTGGCAAAGAGGCTTATTGTCCCACCTCCTCCCAGGAGTGGCGAGCCGATCACGATCTCCAGAGTGATAGGAAGGATCCTGCAGCTCGTGGCAGCGGCAGAATTGTGAGTGGACCTTCCGGTCCCATGGGGCTGGACCCTCGTATTGCCACCTGTGCAGAGGTATTCGTATACCCCCATCTCTAATCATAAGCAAGCTTTCAGTAATGCACATCTGCCATTAACTGGGAAACCCTTCAAAGTTTTCAAATAACTTGAGAGTTGCAGTTCAAATATCTGTGTCAAGTTGCAGTCATGGCTCAGTCTGCAAGTTTACTTGGAATTAAGCCCCATTAAATTCTGTAGGGCTTGCTCCTAATATATGCTCTTTTTTTACCTTTTAAAATACAGCACACATACTCTCAGCATTTTGATATTGTATTCAGATGACAGTTTTATTGTCAAGACTTAATTGCCAGCATTTATTGGTTCATTAGAAACCAAGAAGATTTTAGCTGACGTTTACTTAACAGTCAAAAGTACGCAGAATCAATGGCAACATAATACAGAATCAGAAGCCTATGGTATCCTTAAGCAACCACATATTTATTGTGGAAGGACCCTGGACATCTAACTGCACTGTTAGCACAAGTGCAGTTACTCATGCTGTCAAGTCCTTTTTGCCAACACAGGAGGCTGGCAAAAATCGTACATAATTTTGTACCAAATTGATCTAAGTTGGATGTGATAAAAAGTTGGGAGCAGATACTCATCTCTGATATTTTACCTATAGGGAAATCAAGTAAACACTGAAGGAGATTTTCAGTGATTTTACTTCCCCAAGAACAGCTTTGTTAAATTTTCGGTTCTTGTGAGCATAACAAAAATTTGGAACATGGTTTGGCATATTGTCCATGTTTATATATTTGCTCGGCTATAAAAGAAATTCTTTTTTAGCCCTACCTGGAAATCCCTGGTATTACCCGGTGGTTTCCCATCCAAGTATTAACCAAGCTGCTTAGCTTCCAAAATCAAACGGGATTAGTTTGCTCATGGTGGTATTATGTTGCATGCAGGCTTGTGTTTCTGGCCCTGTAGGTGAACTCATTATTGCCCTGCTTTGTACCTTTTAGGATAAGCCATCCAGCAAACAAATCTTGGTTCTGGGCCTGGACGGGGCTGGAAAGACGAGTGTTCTCCACTCCCTAGCAACTAACCAAGTAAAGCGTAGCACGGCTCCCACAGAGGGCATCAACGCTGTTTGTATCAACACCGAAGAGACAAAGATGGAATTCCTAGAAAGTAAGCATAGGTATCTAATGAGAAACTACTGTTTTGTTTTTTTTTTACAAAGAACACTGTTATAATTTTAGCTTAAGAAGGCACCACTGTCTTCCCTCCCCACCCCTGAGGTCTAGGTATGAGCAGTCATCCCTGTGGCAGCAGTTAAGACATTGTGAGTCTTAAGGAACTTAGGACAAGCATGATCCCTGTTCACCTGCAGACACCACTGAATGTTAAGTTTGATAGCAGGAAAAATAACGCCGTAGGACAAGGTGTACAGAGGACATACAGTATGTCTTGTCTAAAAGCTGATTACTACAGTACTTCCAGGAGACTTCCCAGAATACAGACCTTGAAAACAACATAGTTGCTTTCCATCCACTTTGTATTAAAGCCAGTTGTGGCTTTTTTCTGGTTGCCATTGGAGGTGCTGCATCCTATGGACTTAGGAAGGCCAGTGCAGTGTCCCCACTCCCCACATATCCCTTTCAAATGTTTTACAGACATTTGGAGAGAATTCAAAATTATTGCCCTGGATATGGACTGCTGCATAATGGAAACATTAATTTCAGGAAAGAGGGAATAAGTCTAAATTTCATACCACCAGGATGCTCATCAGATATAGGTGATGACTGATCAAGCCATGGTTAAGCACTTTGAAGGCTCACTGATTTTAGTAGGAGTGTACTCAGATTATACTTAAACCCACAAGATTTATTAATTAGACTTGGAATTACCCTGAGAGTGCTGATACACACTGAAGGTGCAAGATATACATTTTCATATGGCATATACTCAATTGATGTGATATATAAAATAGTGAGAAAAAAGGGAGAGCTGGACCATAAAGAAGGCCGAATGCTGATACACATTGAAGGTGCAAGATACAGTATACATTTTCATAGGGCATAGGCATCCTTCAGTCTCGAGAGACTATGGTAATGTGCTCTGTATGGAGGACTTGGAACAGCGTCTAGTGTTTCAACGCTGTACGTGAAGCAATCCTTGCTTGAAAGGTTTATCATGTCCAACTTCAGGCTCAATTGATACATAAAATAGTGAGAAAAAAGTGAGAGCTGGACCATAAAGAAGGCTGACCGCCGAGGAATTGATGCTGGAGGAGACTCTTTAGAGTCCCCTGGATTGCAAGGAGATCAAACCAAACCATTCTGAATTAAATCAACCCTGAGTGCTCACTGGAAGGACAGATCCTGAAGCTGAGGCTCCAATACTTTGGCCATCTCATGAGAAAAGAAGACTCCCTAGAAAAGACCCTGATGTTGGGAAAGTGTGAAGGCAAGAGGAGAAGGGGACGACAGAGGACGAGATGGTTGGACAGTGTCATCGAAGCGACCAACATGAATTTGACCCAACCCTGGGAGGCAGTGGAAGACAGGAGGGCCTGGCGTGCTCTGGTCCATGGGATCACGAAGAGTCGGACACAACAACTAAATAACAACAACATATAAAATAGTGGCTCATCATACACTTCCAAGAACCCACATTTGTAGATACATTTTAGTTGTTGCAGCTGCTAAATAATTAAATGTTTCTGTTGAGTTCTGAACAACTTGTGTTCTGAACAAAAAATGTTTGCAAGCCACATGCCTTTTTTTTAAACAGGCTGAGCCATTCTAGATATCTGCATAGCACTTTTGGAGAGTCATGGAGACAGTTAAGAAAAAGAGTACATGAAATGCAAGTTGTGGGTATCTGTGTTTGCATCAAACCCTTTATTGCCTACTCTCAGGTTCAGTAGCTCTCCAAAAGATGAACTGCTGGATAGCTCAGTGGTTTAGGTCTCTGGCTGCAGAGCCAGAGGTTGGGAGTTTGATTCCCAGTAGTTAAACAAAAAAATGATTAAAAATAAATTTAAAAGGTGGTCCATCAAGGCCCTGAACCTATAGATGAAAGCCAACACTTCAGAGGGGGTTTAGAAATGTACAAACAGGACAGCTGGTGTGATATGATCTGATCTTTTCGCTCATACTGTCTTGAAAGGCAGATCTCTGTAGAGCATGTTACAGTAGTCTACAGCAGACATTCCAGATACTGTACATGGAAAGTGCAGAGTGCTTTCTTGATGCCGTGCATATATTGTGAGTCAGAGAGTTAACTGTCTGAGATGTTGACTGTCAGTTTCAGATCCATTCAAAGACAACAGAGTACTTAGGAAATCTCTTTGATGAGAGGCCACAGATGAGCGGTGCTAATGCACAGTGGAGGACTTGTTTTGCAATAGGTCTGACACCTTGTCTTCTTTTGCCGTTGACTTGCAGTTGGAGGCAGTGAGCCTCTAAGGGACTACTGGAAGATGTACCTGCCGAGAGTCCTGCTGCTCATCTATGTCGTGGATTCAGCGGATCATGAACGCTTGCCCATTGCAAAGCAGCTTCTTCACCAGCTGGTCCAGAGTAACTCGACTTTGCCTGTTATGGTTCTGGCCAATAAACAGGTAAATGTGAACTCTGAAACGTGGAATAGAATTCATATTTCTGCCTTATGGAATGAGAGAGAGAGAGAGAGAGAGAGCATCAATGGAGAACACATCTAGATTCCCAAAGGGACCATTAATGTAGATAATAACAACGAGGGCCTTGTTCTAGTGTCTTAATGGTGAAGCACTCTTTAGAATACCATAGTGCATCAATGGCAGGATGGTGTCCCTGATGGAGTAGGGTCCCCAGGGGTCTGGTGGCAAGGGTGGGGCTGGTGGGCACAGCCATGCTTTCACCCTCTACATGGTGGTCAAGCATGTGAGGCAGAACCATAATAGTCTTGTTGCAAACATAATTGTGGATGATGAGGTACTTTTTTCATCATTGGTGTAGGATGAGCTTGCTCTTTAGAATACCATAGTGCCATCAATGGCAGGATGGTGTCCCTGGTGGAGTAGGGTCCCCAGGGGTCTGGTGACAAGGGTGGGGCTGGTGGGCACAGCCATGCTTTCACCCTCTACATGGTGGTCAAGCATGTGAGGCAGAACCATAATAGTCTTGCTGCAAACATAATTGTGGATGATGAGGTACTTTTTTCATCATTGGTGTAGGATGAGCTTTACCACCTCATGTGAACGAAGAAGGCACTCTTTTCTTAGAACATGCTTTCAAAACCTGCAAAGAACCAGTTCCATAAAATAATGAAGAGGTGCAAGCCCATTACATTTTGTAAACACCCATTGGCTTATTTTTTAATGGATGTCCTATTACACTCTGGAACATCTTTTTAATTGAACATATCAAACTGGAATAACGGAGTATATAACTAAACACTGCCACCGCAGTTCTTTTTTAATGGGTTCATCGTACATTGTGACCTGCAGTGCTAAACCCAATTAATCCTTTTTGGAAGCCTTTCTGTTGATTAATTGAACTTACTTGTGATCCTCCAAGCAGAGGGCTTGCTGCCTGTTCCTTATTTGTGGAACTGGTTCAATTTTCATTTTAAAATGTTGCGTTCCACTGAAAGGACCTGCAAGCTGGGTATGTGGCAAATATGAGGTATCTAATGAAGTACTATTAGTCAAATGCTGTTGATGAACAGCATTGCCCTCCTAATTTTGGAGCACAAGCTTCTAGGTAGCCAAGAATCCTGTCTTATCACAGAACACAGAGGGTTCTAACTGCATCCAAGTGAACATGAATAGAATAGAGCAGAACAGAACAGAGTAGAACAGAATCATGAAGTTGGAAGAGGCTTATAAGGCTATTGAGTTCAACCCTCTGCTCAGTGCAGGAATACAAATCAAAGGATATCTGCCAGGTGGTCATCTAAATTTCTCTTGAATGCCTCCAGTGTTGGAGTGCTCACCACCTCTCAAGGTAACTGGTTCCATTGCCTGTACAAAGGAGAGGGGATAAGCAACACTGGTGCATGAAAGAACTTCCAGAACAAGGTTAATGCCTATGGCCCATGTTTGTACATTTACTTAGCTATAACAGCTGAGTATGGCTAAGGTCTTCCTCCATTTTCAGTTCAGCCAGGTGAGGTGGGTTACAATGCCACTGGATCAGCTGGTGAGACTTTGGAGGCTGGAAAAGGGTATAGAGGTGGATTAGGTTTTAGCATCAAACCTCTTCTATTTTGCTTTTTTCTGGACAGGATCTTGAACACGCATACTGTATCACAGACATTCATGATGCATTGGCGTTATCTGACCTTGGAGACAAGAGAAAGATGTTCTTGATCGGTACACATGTGGCAAAAGAGGGCCTGGAGATCTCTTCAAGCTTGAAGGACACACGGGAATTGATTTCACAACTGGTGTCAGAAACTCTGTGATAGGAATTGCACCACGAAGGGGCAGAGAGTATTTTTGTATTGCTAGCTATAAATCCTGGTACTTCACATTTTGATCCGACTGTGGTGGTGATTAATCATAGGTGTGGCATTGCAAGGAAGGTGATTCTGAAAGCTTGAAGAACCTTTTTTTTGGGGGGGGGTGTTCTTTTTTAAAATGTATTTATGCTTATTTGAAAATTAGCCTTTCCTTTAAAATAGGGAAGGCAATGGGGATAATTGGACCTCCCCCAGATTAAGGAGAAAAACACACTCTTGCTGCTTGGGTAGATAACACTGCTGACTTTAGCTGTGTGGTGGTTCATACTGTTGGACAACCAGATCCATGAAGAAAAGTGTATGCATTTGCAACAGAGAGTCATTGTTGCTGTAACTATAGCTTGAAGAATCAAAGAAGAATTGGTTCTTTGTGGTTTATGAATTCCTCAGAAACTTCATGGATGTCATCTTTTAGATACATTTATTTAAATCTGAAGCACATTTCTGGCTCCATAACTGTTTCCATTGAAGTTTGCGTATTTATTAATACAGTGGTGCCTTGCTAGACAGCTACCCTGCAAGACAGTTTTTTCGCTAGACATTGACTTTTTGCGATCGCTATAGCAATTTGCAAAACAGTGATTCCTATGGGGGAATTTTGCTGGACAATGTTTGGTCCCTGCTTCACAAACCGATTTTCGCTAGACGACGATTTTGACAGCTCCCTTTGCGCTTGCAAAACGGGTGTTTTCGGGACACAAGCTTCGCAAGACTGCTATTTAAACAGCTGATCGGTGGTTCGCAAAGTGGCTTTCCTATGACCGATCTTTGCTAGACAATGACGATTCTTCCCCATTGGAATGCATTAAACAGATTTCAATGCATTCCAATGGGGAAATGCTTTTCGCTAGACAATGATTTTGCTAAACAGCTATTTCAGTGGAATGGATTATCATCGTCTAACGAGGCACCAATGTAAATACATGTAATTTATTAATGTGCAGAGAAAGAGTACAGACCTGCAGAAAGCTGCTGGGCCTGGCTAGACATTGCTGTCCCCCGAGACTGAAAAGTGAAGAGGTGGTTTACAGTCGTCAAAAAGTGAACAAGTTACCATACGTCCCTCCTGCCTGAATGACCTATACGCTAAAAAAGTAATGTCTCCTGGATTTCTAACTACCTAGTAAACAGGGCTTAATATTTCAAATAACTTCAGGGAATAACGACATTCAGCTATCTGCAGGGAATCCTACTTTGGTCATTCATTTTTGTTCAAGTCTGGGATGGAATCTGCAACCAGTTCATGGTTTATCATGGAGGAAAAAAATAGTAATCTAAACAAGGCCAGTTGCTACTTAGGTTTCTGAGTATCATCCCAGTTTCGTTGGCTAGTAGTGGGGAAATTTAAACTGAGGAATTGGCAAAGACCGGCTCTTCCCGTGGCCTGAAGAGTTACACTCCCTACTGTGTAGCCAGCTGTCAGGCGAAGGGGCAGGAGAGGGTGCTGAGAAGCGATGGTCCTTTTGCCTTCATCCTGAAGCATCCTTGCTTGGTCACTGAAGGTTCAGAGGAAGATCTCCAAGAAGGACATTGACTCCTTTGTCGCAGTTGTTAAAAAAGAAACAGGAAGGGGCATTTTGGGGGCAGGGGATAAAGACAAAAGTATTGTACAGTAGTTGCAAAGCACTCTGCTCTCTTCTGGTGATTGCTCCAAAGAGAAGAAGAGGAAGGATGGCCAACCCAGACTTTCATTTCTTTATATTTCAGAATGTTTTGAGCATGAGAAGTAATGCAATCTGTTTTTAAATAAAAGCTGAGTGGAGAGCTCCAAATTAAAAAGAGTGAAGCGATTCATCTATTACTCCTCCTCTTCCTACAGAATCAGTGCCCATCATTTGTTCTTTTTTAAACAGGTAGTGGGTGTCATAGAAAATGCTGGGTACGGATTATTTCATATTTTCTACCTGATACTGAGATGTTGACTGTAAAGGCTAGAAGGGTTGCCGTCCTTCCCTTTCTATAAATAGTATTTTAATTCCCAGTCTCTCATTTCCTGTAGCCCAAAGTCTGGATGTTCACAATAGGAAACCTTTTCATAGAACTACTTTTTCAATTTCCAGATTTCACAAGTAATCTGTTGTGAATGTTTCCCGAGGATAACTTTTTGTTTGTTACAGGAGAAGGGAGTCTTCAGTTTAGGGGGAAAAGCAAGCTGCCCTTACCACCAGGACAGAGAAATATAGGTTTGGTGCAGTTTAAACATTACCATAGGTCAAGGCATTCACAAAGCACAACCCCCTTATAGAATTTTGCACGGGACAATAGCTACATTTAAAGGGCCATTAGAGCAGAACTTCATGTAATGAGGCAAAAGTATTACTTTAGATGTGAGTTGTCACCAGCCCACATTTGTGGTGATGTGCTTTTAGGAAATCCTCACATTATTCACATTTTCCCCTCTTCCGCCCCTTTCTTCTTCAGCTTTATTCACAGATATTGCAAAAAAAACTGAAAATGGTAGATATAGCAGAATGGTGAGAATTGTATATGAAAGGCATTGTGAGCCAACATGGTGCTTGGGTTAGAGTGTTACACACCAGGAGGTGTGGGGTCAAATCCCCACTCAGTCATAAAATCCACTAGGTGACCATTTATTTGTCACACGTTCTTAGCTTGGCCTACCTCATTGGGTTATTTTGAGGGTAAAGTGGAAAGGAGATGCATATATACCATAGCTCAGTGGTTTAGGCATTTGGCTGCAGAGCCAGAGGTTGGAAGTTCAATTCCCCACTGGGCCTCCTTGAGAGGGACTGGACTTGATGATCCATAAGATCCCTTCCAGCTCTGCAGTTCTAAGGTAGTGGTTATAATTTTAAGCTACATGAAGGAAGGACACTGTGTAAATGTAACAAATAAACACTCTACTTCCTCATTTGGAATCATCCCCTCATACAGATTCCACCTTACAGATGATCAATAGTGATACATGATGGAAGGCCTTCGTCTGCAGCTCTCACCCCTCAGAGTGACAGCTTCCCTTAAAGATCTGAAACTGTGTGAAATATCTCAGGGGTGCAAGCTGCTGCACCATTTAGACAAAATCCATTTCAGACTCCTTTCTTAACCACTTTTTCTGGTGTTAAATTGTACAGAGAGTGACAAAGTAACAAGAAATCAAAGTGATATTTCTTTGTATGTTGGAGAAAAACTGTATAACGTTTTCGTAAAAGTAGAAAATGTACATGTTTTCTGGGAATGCTTTCCCCCATTTTTATGCTGAAGCAGTTTGTTTCTATAAAGCCACAATACTTTTATTCTGTTTTGTTGTCTTGAGTTTCATTTACATTACCATGAGATCCCTTGGTTTCCCACTGAAGGAGAGGAAGAATATTTTCAAGTGGTAGTGGACACACATAAATTACCTTTTTTCCCCCTTTGCTTTCCTGCATATGTTTAATATCTCAATCAAAAGGAGAAACCCACCCTCTGAATAGAACAAATATAATTAGAGAGGAGAAGGGAAAACTGGCCAAGGACCATATTACTCCCGCACAGTTGTTGTAGAACGGGTCTTTGAACTGAATCATGGGTGTAAACAGCTAAGTGGCAGATGAGGAATCAAGGGCTGGAGTTAGAAAATTGAATTTCTGGAGTTTGCTTTGTGAAACTCTGAGGAGGTATCCAGGTATTGCATGAACCTGGTGAATCTATAGCTTTGATCTAGACATTAAATTTAGTCAACACTTATACAGACAACCCTTATTTAGACATATATGAAATGTCTAAAACAAATACAGTGGCCCATTTATAGAAAGCAAAACTTGCTCCTGACAGCAAGATGAAATCCAGATGAGAAGGCTGGATTCACCTGGAATGGGTTGGGCATGTGGCGCCATGGCACCTTCGTTTTTAATGGTGCCACCATTTGGAAATGGATCTTTAAATGCCGCTACATAATTCCAATATCATTCTTCCTTGTACCCACAGGAGAGTTACCAGGGACAGAGAGGGCCCCTGCACTATTGCACAGAAAGAAGAATTCAAATATGGCTGACCCCAGTTGTTCCAAAGCAGTGGTCCATCTGCCACTAGCGAGATGCAGAAATAGGTCAAGGGGATTGCAAAGTTTTCATAACAATTACCTACAATAACAGTGCACTTCCCCCGTTTGCCGTGTCCTCCTGCAAGTGAAATAAGACAGTGATTATCCATTCTGCTCATTGAATTATTATTTTTCTTTGTGATTGTTCCCGAAAATATTGCTCTGATTTTTAAAGTCTCTGAAGTTTACTGTTAAGATAAATATGACAGACTGATTGTATATGTTCCTTCTCAGAAGAAATCAGCTTCTTGATGCTCTCATCACAGGATTCTCTGGGACTGCAAATTCTACTACCAAAAAAGAAGGATCCTTCTGCAAAATCTCAAACCAAGAGTGAATAATACTTTTTTAAAAAATCTTCAAGTCTTCAATTCTAGCAGGATGCACCTTCAGGTTTAGGATGGCAAGATCTGGTTGGGATAATTTGGGGGTTATTCTTTTTCTCCCCATACGCTTTCAAGCTTGTTAGTGCTCAGCTTCAGGAAGGGTCCCGCTGAAATCAAACACTTGCCTGTTCAATATTTGAGCAGTGCCATAAAGGTATCACTCATCCCTGTTTTTTCATTCCCCATTCTAGGCAGCCCTTAAAGGTACAGGAGCGTTCTTGATCTCAAGTTTGGGCTGCAGTGCAACAGTAATTGCTCCAAAAACTTGTATAGAAGGGTTTAAGGCAGTGCTATGTGACTACGCCATGATTTCCAAACAATGCATTAAGACTGAAGAACAACATGGCATGGCAAAGAATCTCAGTCTTTGTCCATTCTTTTATATTTCATTTCTAGCTTACCGTTGTAGTATCAGAATTATGCTTTGGAATGTGTGGACCAGGAGACTAGTGGTTTACAGTGGGTATCCTAAAAAGGACAGGGTGGCCACTGAACAACATCTGATGGTGCTGGCCCAGAGCACCATCCCCTCTGTGGCTATCAAATTTTTTCTTGGAAATATCAAGTCCTGCTAATTTTAAGGAGACTTCCCTGTAAGTATATTCCTCATACAAGGTAACTCCAACTAACTTTCATGGTACCTATCAGAATAAACTTCACAGCACATTGCTTTTATTATAATTCCCCAGGAAAACTGCTGTATTCTACAGTGGCAGCTTGGAGAAAAATTCTTCTGATTTTAAGTAAGTCTAGACAATTATTTATTTCGATGTATATCCAGCCTTATGAAGATACTATTACACAGTCACTGAGGATGATGGTCATAGGAAAATGAGCAGATTAAAATAACTTTTCATGCACTTTGCCTATGCAGAATTTTCATGGGCCCCTTTAATGAGCTCTCAAGCCCATTCTCTGGAGCCTACTATGGTATGAAATGCAGTTCCCTTTCTGATGGTGAAGGGAAAAGGGGAAAAAAGTGAAGGAGCAAACTAGTGAACCACTTTAATAGTGTTGTTGCTTAGTGGTGATGAAAGGTTAGTGTTGCCCATGCTGGCTGCAGCTTCTAGGAGTTGATCGAACCACATCAGCAGATCAAGGTTTGGGGAAAAACTGGTTTAAGTTGTCTGATTTCTGTTCTTGAAAGCCCATCACATCTGCCTGTTTGCTAGGTCACGAAGCTGACTCTGAACACCATACAGGGGCTACTGTTGCTTCTCCCTTTCATGGTCCCCATAGTAGCCATTGATAACTGAGAGGCTGAATGGGCAGCGATTCTCACACGGAGCTGGATCTACTGAGGAAGAGGGACGCCAAGTGCTACTTCTCTTACCCCCTGATGTCAACATGAGTCCTTAATCGCGAGCTTTTAAGAGGGTTGAAATTGTTCCCTCTATGTGGGCTGTCTATGAGTGTCTGGAAAAGTGTCTGATTCCCTACAGCTAATGAAAGAAATTCTGCAGCCCTACTTTCTTGTGACCCGTGCTTTAGAGCCAGTACAACACAGCCTGGAACCAGATAATTTCATTTGCTTCTGAGCTGAATTCAAGGTGCTAGTTTTGATCTCTCAAGCTCTAAATGACTTGGAGCCATGATGTCTCCTCCCTTATGTACCTCCCTGAGGGTTGAGATCTTTTGCAGATCCCACCACCCTAAGAGGAGGTTGGTTGGCTGGCTGGTAGATAAGAGAGGGCTTTCCGTCAGGCAACAGCTTGATTGAAGACTTTCACCTCCACCAAACGTTAGCCTGGGTCTGTGAACTAAAATAGTGGTGTTCCAAAGGACAGATGGTCTTTAATTATTTTATTTTATTTTAGTCTTTTAAACAAAGAAACATTTAGAATACCTGGATGAGCCCTTAAAGAACATTTTAAATTGTGTTTTAATGATTTCAATCTACTGTAAATTGCTTTGAAAGATTTGGTAGGCACCGAGGGGTTAAACAAATGCTTTCAAAATAGTAAAATAAACAGGGTTTTGGGGAGTAAGTAGCTACAAAAATGGAGGTGTGTCACAGCAAATGCCTACACTAATTTCTTAATCTGAGGTAATTTGCCAATGAGATTTAAGTCAATTGCATTATGCCCATGAGTGTAACTGACATGATTTTTTTTGCCAGTTAGTTATTGCTAACTTTCCCCTTTAGCAAAATTCTAAGTGTGATGTAAAGCAATAAAGAGTTTTGTGGCACCTTGAAATCCAACATGATAATGCAGTTGAGAAAGTGGGCTGTGTTGATGAACTCTCATGCAAGATAAAAGACTCCTTAACTAGAACTCTGTGGCATTTTTATGTGCACGGAAAAGGAACCATGGAAGCTACCGAGACAGATTGCAACTAAGTGTGTGTGGTTTTAGATATGCACCTAGCATCTTCTCAATTCACTATTTTGGCTTCTGCAATGCCCACGCGTAGTAGAGTTCTGGCTTTTGCTGTTTTTGCTGGAAGAGATTAATGTGGCTACTTCCATGGACTTCACACACACACACCAATTATTGTAACTTGAGGTTTGCATAGTTGCAGGAATGCTAGTTCACTATAATCTGGTAGGTGTCATAGAGTGGGCTTCAAACTTGCATTCTTACATGCTCTGCTGTGGGTGTTGAGTTGACAGTGTGGTGAAGGACCAAAGAGGGTTTTACACCAGGCTGGAAGCTTGTAGCTTTCAGAATTTGCTTCTTCCTTTAAGGAGATACAGAGAGATTTGGAAAAGTGGGATAAGCTATAACTTTCATTGATGGGAAGAATAGCAGAAATTTAAATGAATGTGTTACCTAAACTGATCTTTCTCTTTCAGACAATATCAGTGATGTTAAAGCAAACACTTTTTCAATTTAATTAAAAAATAATGAAATTGTTTGGCAAGGGAAAAACCCAAGGATTAAAGTGAAGGCATTACAAGATTCTAAACAAAGGGCAGGTTTTGGTCTTTTGGACTGGGATACCTATTATAGGGCCTGTGTACTGGCCTGGATTAAGGAATGGGTTATTTTGGATAATGAATGATTGCTTAAACTGGAGGGACATGATCTTAGCCTGGGGTGGCATGCTTTTGCATGGTGCTAAAAAGCTAAAGATCATAAAGTCTTCAATAATCATACAATAAGAGAGTCTTTGTTATGAATTTACTACACTTGAACTGAACTGTTGGAATAAGATACAAAAGCAAATGTTCTGGAGTGGGTCTTGCCATTAGAAGCATTTTCATAGCCAACCTTAATGGACCTAACAAAACTTTTGAGGTATAGGGATCTGCTTAAGAAAGATGGGGCGTTAAGGACTAGAGAGGAACTAGAGGAGCAGAAAGTCTTTCTAGACTGGTGGACGGGACTACTATTAGACTCGAGGTATGTAAAAGATTTCCTCCATTTTGAAGGAAATCAACCCTGAGTGCTCACTGGAAGGACAGATCCTGAAGCTGAGGCTCCAATACTGTACTTTGGCCATCTCATGAGAGAGAAGAGAAGACTCCTTGGAAAAGACTTTGATGTTGGGAAAGTGTGAAGGCAAGAGGAGAAGGGAACAACAGAGGATGAGATGGTTGGACAGTGTCATTGAAGCTGCCAACATGAATTTGACACAACTCCGGGAGGCAGTGGAAGACAGGAGGGCCTGGTATGCTGTGGTTCGTGGGGTCATGACGAGTTGGACACGACTTAACAACTAAATAACAACAATGTAAAAGATAAAATAATGGGCTTTAATGAAGAACAAATGGCATTTGATAAACACTGGAACAAGTGATAAAATAATTGAATGTATGAATATGAAAATGAAAGATGAAGAGCGGAAAGACCGTATAATAAAAATGAGACACAAAACATTGGTCATAATATTAATTTAGAACATGGGGCACAAATTTGGCAGAATAATAATTACAAAACTTACAACATCAGTGAATTTTAAAGAAGATATATAAAAGACATTTTATAGATGGCATATGACTCCAGCAAAACTCTCTAAAATGTATGAAAATATCCCCAACAAATGTTGGAAATTTAAAACACAAGAGGGTACTGTACTTTTTATCATATCTAGTGGACATGCAGGGAAACAAAAAATTATTGGAGATCAGTACATGAAATGTTACAAATATTGTATCTCGTGTGATATCATTTAAACCGGAATTGTTTTCATTTAATATTATGCCATGATTCTCAAAAAATTAAAAGGCAGGCCTTCTTCTTTTTTTTAACTCTTCTTCTGCATACAGAGAAAAGGAGTCTTCTCTTCTTCAGGGAGTCTTCTCTTCTTCTGCATACAGGGAAAAAAGCAAAATCGGGTTTCAAGAAAACAAACAAACCCAATCACGCGCTGACGACTGCGGCCAGAATCCCCAATTTCCACAGCCGCTCTTTTTCCCGCTTGCGCGCCCTCTCGTGGCTCTCCGCGTGCAAGAACGTGGAAGGGAAAGAACCCCGCGGGCCGCCGGTTGCCGCGGCAACCCGAACAAACAAACAACACCAAGGAGTCCTCGCGAGCGAGCCGAGGCGCGCCCCCGACCCACAGGAGATTATTGGTGGAGGCCGCGGCTTCTATGTTTCTTTTGGTCCGGGCGCGTGGGGGATGGGAGAGTCAAGGCCAGGTGCGTTCCTGGAAGGTTCTCTGAGCATGTGTAGAATGCGTTTTCCTCTGATGAATGGGAGACCTAATTTTAAACAAAACAAAATAATGTAGGTCCAAAGGGGAAAAATGACTGAGAAATTCAAAGGACCTGGTTTTGGATCCTTCGGTCACCCAGTTTTGTTTTGTTTTGTTAAAAACCTGATCATTTAAAATTAATTCGTTTTAAATGATCAAATGCGACTCTGTTTACATATGAGTTAAAAATGTTTCTGGGATGGGAGCCTCTGTGATGGCGATGTCACAACAGATTGGCGATGTCACAACAGGTGCCACATCCTGTGCATAAGGCTGTCCTATGAAAGCAGGGAGAAATATAATTTTTCTTAAGTCCTTGTAGTAAAGTTGCTTTATAAAAACTGCTACAAACATTCAACAGGGTATTAATCTGATGAATCAACTCGGGTGAAGATCTGGAGTGGAGGTCAAATTGTAAAATTTTCAAATCACATTAAATGCTGTCAAGGGGCTTGGGCCTCCCCCTTTGAATTGTCTTTTTTAAATCTTCTGATCTGTACACCTCAAAACCATGCTACAGATTACTGAATGCCCAGTCAGTTACAGAAAACAGCACTTAACATACTGCCAAGATCCAGGATGGCTGAATGGGGTGAGGAGTTATTTGCCTCTTAACCTCAAAACAAAACAGGATGTTGTTCTTTTCTTTTGAAAATGCAAATATTTTGGAATTTGTTTTATGGCTTTCATGGTTGCTTTTCTTGTTTTATAATCTCAATATAGTATCAACCATAATGTAGGAGATGTGTACAGTAAATGCAAATTTTAACATTTTCTCTCCTTTTTTGTCTAGAAACAATTATAGAAGAGATAGTTTCATTTGTAGTCTTGCAATAAAGGTGTAAATTACACACACACAAACACACTCATTCCTTGATGCATGTTATTACACTCTTCAAAGCTGCTGCTGGACCTGATGCAAATCCATTTCTGTGGCAACTTCCTTTATATATTTCTCCGTACTTAATAACAGCTTCAAGGAGCCGGTGCTATTGAAGGAGAAAAAGATTAGCTCCTCACTATATGCTGAGGCTCCTGTCCAAGTCCCTCTTGCCATAAAAAATGTACTTGTATACCTGTAGTATCCTGTGTCTTGGTTCTGATTGACCACATTACATTATACTGAAACATTCAAACCTCTGTGCATTTACATCATTGTGTCCCAGAGTAATGCTGGTGTAGGAACTGATGTAGTGTTCTGGCATGTTTTCTGATGGTAACAGTCACCATAATTATTACTTTATACTGTACTCTGTTGTGGATCTTTCCTGGCTCCCTGTAAACAGATGTCAAACTATGGTAGTACAGTATTTGAACATGAATTGGGGGATTGCACACCAAAGTTTATTTCACTGCCTCTCTTGTCTAGAACTTCAGCAGGTGTTGCCTAACTTTTTGCATCCAGGAATCTATTTCACCTTGACTTGTCTTTTAAGGCAAAGTCTGCTGTCAAAACCAGGTCATGTTTCGGCTGTATTGTCAGTCCGTAATAGGACACGTAATAGGGACGTGGTGGCGCTGCGGGCTAAACCGCAGAAGCCTGTGCTGCAGGGTCAGAAGACCGACCAAGCAGTCGTAAGATCGAATCCACGCAATGGAGTGAGCGCCCATCGCTTGTCCCAGCTCCCGCCAACCTAGCGGTTCGAAAGCATGCAAATGAAAGTAGATAAATAGGGACCACCTCAGTGGGAAGGTAACAGCGTTCCGTGTCTAAGTTGCACTGGCCATGTGACCACGGAAGATTGTCTTCGGACAAAACGCTGGCTCTATGGCTTGGAAACGGGGATGAGCACCGCCCCCTAGAGTCGAACACGACTGGACAAAAATTGTCAAGGGGAACCTTTACCTTTTAGCAGGACACAAGTCAGGTCTTTCGGCCCTGTTGTAGCTTTATATGGACTGAAAATGTTTCTCAGATCACACACAGCACTTTCCTGCGCACAATGCGGGACCTGTTTTGTGGTAGCGGTGGCAAGTTGCCTTTTAGGGACGCTAGATTGTCATGACTGGTTTTGTCACTGAAGAATCTTCCGTAAGCCTTGGGTCTCTGAAATTGTTACGACTTTTCTCGACCCTCAAAAAGGGGACGAGTGGGCATTTGAATGTGAAATATAGAATTGTTTCTTGAATGTATATTTATTTTATTCTGCTCTCTCTGTGTTCCGACCAATTAGTCTGTTAAAAGGCAACACCCTGCCACACGTGAGGATGTTGAAACCCACAGTTACCACTTAACTCAAATACAAATTTAACAGACACATGAATCAACTTTTAAGTGGGTGGAGAGGTTCCTTTTAGTGAACAGTCAGTACACAGAGTCCTGCTTTGATGTAATTACAGGTAATGTGTTGCTAACTGTGATGATCGCACACCACGCAGTAGGTTTCGAGACATTAAAACCCAGCTGCTCTTTTTGCTTCCCTTCTCAGCTTCTCCTGATGGTTTTCTCACCAGCGAAAGGTAAGAGAATACTTCCAGCGCTCCCATAATTCCATGGTTCATGGCCTGCATTCCAGTCCTTTGTCCTTCCTTGACAGCAGTGCTTTGCGTGGCCAGTGGCCTTCTCGTTTAGTGTAAATTGGATCATCACTTACAATTCACTGAATACTTACAATTTTCTTTCAGGCATTTACGTAATTGCAATATCTGGTCCACAAGTGACCCCAGTGCTACTGGTGTGAGTGGGAACAGTGGCAAACAAAGGTCTCAATTACAACCCTACCCCAAAGTTTGTAGAGAAGGTACATTGGGTGATGGCGCCACACTTTTTTCATTCCCCCCAGAAAGTGTTCTTAGGAGCTATTGGTGTCAGTATTATCCCAGCAGATCATCTGCCTTAATCCATTGTAGCAAAAATAACTGGTCTCCTGACACCTTAAAGACCCATGTTTTCATGTTTATAGCTTACTTCTCCTCCCATCTGAGAGCAGGGCTGCAAGGAATATTTCTAGCCAGGCTCCGCCAGATTAATGATTTTGAGGACTCCTCTGTGTTTATTTCTCTTTTAACCACTAATCATTCAGGAGGAAGGGATGGTTAGCAACAAAAATGTGTGAATGCCTTGCCAGTTTTGATACTGGCTTGTAATTGATATTGGGGTAAAATGCATGGAACACATAGTAGAATCTATATAAGGGGAGATTCACAGTATGAGTCAAGAAAAGGGGATGTCAGAATTCTCCTGTCACAATAATTATTTGACAGTAAGATTGGAATTAACTCAGATGACTCCGTAGTAAGACACTAAAGCTACTCCACCCCGTCATACTGCTCTGCATGAGAAACGAAGGACCGCCTTCCTTGGTGGTCCAGACACCATTCTGTTCCCAAAAACAGACTGCCATGTTCTGTTAGGTAACTCAATATATCTGTTTGGCTGTCTATTGCCTTCTTAAAACTTTCACAAAGTGCTACAAGCCATTGTGATGTAGTGGACAGAGTGTCAGACTAGCACTGAGGGGACCTGGGTTCAAATATTTTACTTTGCCATGGAGACCCACTGGTGGGTGGCAATGGTAAACCTACTTATTGATCATCTCACATATCTTGAGGGTCCTTGAAAAAATCCAGTTAGAGTTGCCATAAGTTGGAAGCAATTTGACATTACATGAAAGCTCTTGATAGAAGAACTGTCTTCTGTGTTTGCAATATAATCGAGATGTAAAATAAAATGGCGTAGCTGCCACTATGCCATAAATTTCAGTATACCTAAATGGGATACAGAAAAGAAGCCCATGAATTTATCCCTTGAATACTAGAGCTGTGCAACCTTTGAATATGAACTTTCATCAAGCTTTTTAAACTACAGCTGAGAAACTGGCCCTTCGTGAATTTGCCAGATCGCTGCGTAAAAACCCAAACAGCTCAGTAATAGCATCTTTTGGGACAGTAAATGAATTGTCAAGGCAGCTATATGAAAAAGTACAGTTGTCTCTTGTAAATATCCCTTGAATACTAGAGCTGTGCAACCTTTGAATATGAACTTTCATCAAGCTTTTTAAACTACAGCTGAGAAACTGGCCCTTCGTGAATTTGCCAGATCGCTGCGTAAAAACCCAAACAGCTCAGTAATAGCATCTTTTGGGACAGTAAATGAATTGTCAAGGCAGCTATATGAAAAAGTACAGTTGTCTCTTGTAAATGTCCTGAAAGATAAAAACCCAAACAGCTCAGTAATAGTATCTTTGGTGGCAGTAAATGAATTGTGAAAGCAGCTACATGAAAAAGTACAGTTGTCTCTTGTAAATGTCCTGAAAGTCAAATTTCATTGTGTCCCCCTCCCCCGAACCTCCTAGTGAAGCCAACTTGGAAGCAAAACGGGAAGGAATAGAAAATATATTTGTTTTTATACAGGTAGCCAATGTGCAATCTGTGGGCTCATTGCCCACATGCCTCCAACTCTTTTTTAACCATTCCATATAGATTAGGCATCCTTCAGTCTCGAGAGACTATGGTGACGTGCTCTGTATGGAGGACTTGGAGCAGCATCTAGTGTGGTTGAGAAGGCCAATTCGAGAGTGACAATCTCTTCCACACTGAAGACAAATACAATCTGTCCCCTGTCCAGCTCCCTGATTTTGCTGCTTTTGTGACTGCCTCTTTGCCTCAGCCTGCTGGACAAGGGTGTCTTTAAATTGGGAGAGGCCATGCTGCACTGCCTGCCTCCAGGCTGAACAGTCAGATGTCTTCAGATCCTGCTTGCAGATATCCGTGTATCGCAGCTGTGGTCTGCCTCTGGGGCACTTTCCCTGCACTAATTCTCCATACAGGAGATCTTTTGGAATCTGACCGTCAGCTATTCTCACAACATACCCAAGCCAACGTAGACGTCCCTTCCATATACCACTTCTGAATTTCAGTGGCAATCTACAAGAAGCCCTTTAAAAGGGATTTTCAGAAATTGTCACTGAAATTCAGCAGCAAAAAGGAAATCCCATTAAAACAAATATTTATCTGTTTTAAAGATTTTTGGGTTTTTTTGGAAATCTGTCGCTCACTTCTGGCTCTCCAGCAATAATCTGTCACTCAGTTCTGGCTCTCCAGCAATGGAGGTTGCAGACCAGGGGGGTCCTGGGGATGGGGAATTGGCTCCCAGACACACACACGCACGAATCACCTAGCAGTGCCAGCCCTATGAAACTCTGATTAATCTTTTTCACATTTGTATTATTAGTATATCTGAGCAACCAGTACAAGGATCACCACCTATTTGATGTCTGGTTTTAGGATGTCTGGCAGACAGAAACAATATATTGGTCACCTGCAAACTCATTAGAGGAAAACAGACAGTAGGAAGCACCCCTTGAGACCCTCATGATGTATAGTTGGGCCTCACACCAGTGCTGTGCTCAATACCTGATGTCTACTCTTTTTTTTTAATTTATCAACTACAAACAAATATATAAAATACCATACAAACACCCCCAACCCTCCCCCCCCCTTTGAGGACAGAGATTCAGACTTCATTGCATTCCAACTTTTCCAAATTCCGGAGAGCATTGAAAGTGAAAAGAGAAAAAAGAAAAAACGAAGTCCAACAATCATTTTGCCCTGTCTTCAGATCTGTCCCTGGGCCCAAACATGTATTAAGTTCCAACTTTGTTGTGCATAGTCTCTTGGTTGATCTCGTAGTGCTTCTGACAATGTATCTAATTCTGTAATGTCCAACAGCTTCTTCAGGAACTCCTCCATTGTAGGTATGCCTTCACTTTTCCATTTTTGGGCCCAGAGTAACCTTGCTGCTATCAATATATACATCAAACAATATTTGATTTTCTTATCAGTAATTTCTGGCATAATATTTAATAGTGCTATTTCGGGTTTAAAATTTAATTTCTTTTGAATGATTCCTTTTATTATTTCCCACAACTGTAACCAATAAACCCTGGCTTTTTCACATGACCACCACATATGGTAATAAGTTCCTACTTTTTTTTTTACATTTCCAACAGATATTGCTGCTACCTTCTGACATTTTTGCCAGTTTTATAGGAGTATAATACCATCTGTAAAACATTTTGAGGATATTTTCTCTTAGATTTACTGGCTTAATCATTTTATAACAGTCTTTCCACATCATTGTCTGACGTTGTCTACTCTTAAACAGGCCTCAGAGATCTTTTCAGTCCCAACTGAGAATGAGGGTGTACAGTGTCATTTCTTGTGGCCTAAAGATAGGTAGACTAAAGCCATTGGACTGTTTGTGTTGTTGTTGTTGGTCTTCCTCCTTTGTTTGTTTGTTTGTTGGTTGGTTGGTTAATAAAATTTGTATACTACTCCCATTAGTGCCAAAGCACAACTCTGGGAGGTTTACAGTAATAAACAAAACAAACCCAAGATAAAACTAAAGTGGTTTAAAACCAGTTTAACAACTAATCCTGCTGTCTTCAAAGTTTACCACCATTATTATCTTTTCCAAAGAATCCTGCCTTCTCATGATGTGCCCAAAGTAGGATAGCTTCAGTTGCAGCATTTTTACCTCCAGAGATATAGTTCAGGCTCGGTTTGATCTAAGACTCACTTGTTTGTCTTTCTGGCAGTTCAGGGTACCAGTAAAGTTCTCCTCCAGCACCACATTTGAAACAAATCATTCTTCTTCATGGTCTCTGTGAATGCACACTGTAGGGTTAGTCTGTTCTTGCACAGAGGTTTCCAGAATATTCTAGAGCTTTATCATGGGTTCGCCAGGAACGCCCACCCTAGTACACATGGTCCGCCTGTCCTGGCAATTGCCTCAATTCCTTTTTGCCACCTCTGAGGTTCCATCTCTTGACGAGCTCTCCGTTTGCCTTGCTTTCGATTCTTACTAAAACAAAAAATTACAGAGGGAATATAGTAAAAGACGTTCGAGTTGTTTCTCCCTCTCCTGACCGCCTTCTCTTCTTCTTCTCCTGGGCATCTATCCCTACCAATTCTTGGGTCCTCTCCATCATTGGCGTGGGGTATGCAATCAAATTCTCTCTTCTGCCACCATCGAGAATGATCCTTACTACTCCATCAATTATACTACAACAGGAAATTCAGTCTCTAATGCTAAAGGACTCCATCACTCCTGTTGTCCCGTCAGATGATGACCAGGATTTTACTCCCAGTACTTTACTGTTGCAAAGTGATACGGAGGTCTCTGACCCATCCTCGACCTTTGAGACCTCAGTTTCTACATTGTTGAGAGACGTTTCCTTATGGTCACGCTAGAGCGCATACTACCCATTCTTCAAGAAGGCAGCTAGTTT